TGTTTGGGGTGCTCGGCAGAGTATACTGTCTACGGGGCCTCCGGGGGGTACGCGGATGGAATGTATTGACAGACATGCTGCATGGCGATGGTGTGGCCTACCGCATGTCTCTTACTCTCTAAGCAACAAGGTCTTGAGTCAACCTTCTTTCTCTTTCGGCCTCTGACGAGCTACCGCACCCAAAACAACATCTGACAATTTGACGTAGACATTATACATCTAGTGGACAACAACGTTTNTTTGCCCAGATTGGCTATTTCTGCTCAAACTGTTTCAGGGCGGTATCGCGTCGGGCGGTGGGCTCTGCTGTAGCTTCTGCTCCCCGCTGTAGCTCCAAAACGAGAGACTCCCGCAGAATGACCAGGGTAGCGGCTTGAAGCTACGGGCTAGCCCTTCAACTCAAGCTACACAGCAAGCTCCACCTCTCAGTGGTAGTCCGGCTACAGCGTATCGCGCAATCTCGCTCTCAATCAGATGCTACGCTCTCAATCAGGCGAATATGTTGTTTCAATGTGGGAATGCTCTATGCTATTTCAACGTAGGCACGTGTTGGCGTTTATTGTACATACTGATCCGTGTTTTACCAGGAATATCTTGCCCAATCTGCATATGTATCTAGAAAGTGTGCAGATTCTCCAAATTGTTCTCGGGTAATACTAACCGGGGATTCTATCTCGTTACAATCTGGATCTTATACCGTTGCAGGGTACATGCCACCATATTTTCCACTCTCCTTGTAAATAGTATCTTCAAACGTTGGTCCACTCTGGTCACCATATCTCACAGTAAAAATGTCTTCCATGTAACGTTTTGTACCAACGCTAAGGTGTTCAATAAGTTCAAACGGGTGAAGCGGTATATATAGTTCCAGCAGCCCTAGAGGCCATGTATTCACCTATGATCTCATTCAGAAACCGGAATTGGTCGAGGTCGGAGATACTGTACAATTGATGCATGGATGGATGTGTTCCGACGAGAAAATGAGAGTCATCAATTATCAAGGAGTCAAGTTGTCAAGTTTTTGGTGTGCGTGCACAATGCGGCGAAGCAAACTTCCTTGCGCGTCCGCAATGCGGTGGAACACGAGGCTACAACAGGAGAAACAGCTATGACAACCTGCATGCCTTGGACTGATGGATCGCGCGTGTACCATGTCTTCGCACGCATCCAAAGTGCAAGACTGTTCGGGAAGGAGGGAGACACACAAGCAAGCACGCCTGCACAAAAAGCTGCTTCTATCCCTCAATGCGCGCGCGTATATGTACAAGAACAAATCTAAATGATTTGTCCTGACAACTATTTAACATTTTGTGCTTGAAAGTGAGGTGGCGGGGGATCGGAGGGAGCCCAGCCTGATGTCATTGGATGGAAGATTAAGATTGGTTCCGGTAACGTGCACCCTCGAATCAATAGTGCGTGCATGTATCTGAGCCACCGTCATCGAGGTGTAAATCAACAAGATAAGCCAATCGAAGCGACAAAAAAAACATTGAGTTTTGCCCCGACTAAATACTACATTACGTCCATCATCATCGTTTACGCGAGTTGAAGCCACCCAGAACGAAGAAGGATAAATTGCAATAGACCAACCGACCGACATCATCCCGGTAATCTTCTCGTGACTAGACCACGATCGTCTTCGAGGGCGGATCCTGGCTTAAGGATCGACTTGTCGATGCTTAGACCTGCGGATGGGTTGACGATTGTTACGTCTATGACAATGGACTTGGTGCAGAGGTCCTCTTCCTTCTCTCCTGCGTGTAATCCTGGGGGGATTACCAAGTCCATCTTGTAAAGCCCCTTTCCCCTACCAGTGCCTGTGGTAAAAGGGGNTTGTATAGCCCCTTTCCCCTACCAGTGCCTGTGGTAAAAGGGGAAGAATCCTCAACGGCGATGGGCATATGGCACTCGCACAGTGTCTTGAGGACTACTCGGCCCGTGTGTGTGCGTGTGTGTGGCCCGTGCCGTGGGCCCGTGCAGACTACGTACGTACAGGATAATGCGTGGTAAAATATACATCGAACAGCAGATAGCTACAAGGTGGTGAGATATGCATTCATGCCGAGTGTACAGTGTACAGTTGGCGCCCGCAGTTAAGAAAAGCTTATTTCAGGTCCAGCCTCGAATTCGTATTGTGGGCTATATACTCTGCGTATGTCGTTCAGTTTCATTTTCCAAGTTTCGTATTTGCTCGTGCAGCCAAATCCTGCTGAATTTCTTAAATCGGCAATTTCGTATTCTCTGCTTGCCTGCTACACAACGTTCCAAATATACAAATGATCTGCACTGCTTTCCTCGACCCCCGTACTCAACCCCGATTCTCACTACCGACGGCTGCACGTAAGGCCACTCCCTAGAAGCGAAATGTATCCAGCGGCAACGTCCCGCTATCGCTACAAGGTCCTGTACCCCCCTCATGAATGAGGGCTGAAACTAAGCAAATGCATGAACACCGCATGGTGCCTCACCCGCACGCTGACGTGCCAACAACGAAAACTACCCCGTCAATATGTTGCAAGCTCCGTGAGGCGAACATTGGGGGTAGTCACCCTTTTGCGCCTCCTGCTCCCTTCCTTTGGGTCTACCTCTAGGAGAACCCACGCCCCAATTGCGACGTCTTCATCCGTGCTGTACGACTCCAACGGCATCTTCATGCTAAATTTACGCGTGCTTTCGTCACAGTGCAGGATGACGCGGTAGTCGTACTCCTGCCTCGAAGCGGGGTGAGAACTGCGACTAGTTACCCCTCCGAACCAACCCAACCCGAGTTTCACGAGAATCCCACGCTTCACTATGGGAGGGGGGGGTCGGGGGAGAGAGGGGGAAAGAGCGAGGGAGCTGTGGGGTTTGTTTCTTGTTCGACACACTTCCCCGTAAACCCTCGTTTCTTATGTAGTAGCGCAGCGGTCGCCGCTGTGTTTCTTATTGAGACATTTCTTATTATTGTTGTATGACCCACGTTGAGCTATCTATGTTTCTTAACCCTATTTTCTTACTTTTCGTGAAAAAGTGAGCCTCAATTTCTTAACAAAATATTTCTTAACTGCATGCGCCAACTGTATTGTTGAAACCGCTTCGGAAGATACAGCATTTTTCCATTGTTTTGACATCTGTTATGGCGCTCCCTCTCCGGCTTTACTCCCAGCAGTTCCACGTCATCATGCCCTTGGCTACCATACTCCACCACCACCACAACACACCTGCTAGTCTTCGGAGAGGAAGGCAAAGCTGTGCTGTGCTGTGCTGTAAGGCAGGACATGTATTTGTGGGTGGAGACCAAGAAGAGACCAAAGATACTACAGGAGATATAGCATGATTTTCTTGTTCTCAGACGGCCGATTGGCGCTTCCTCTTCGGCTTTGGTAGTAGAGACAGCCTTCCCTATAGAGCTGGCCCTTCCTTTCCGCGTCTGTCGGCCTCGTACGTGCTTGTGGCTATTACTACGGTGCCGCCAGAACTGGCCAATTGTTTGGTGGTTTTATGGCACAAAATATGGCGTGTTGGTACCGAGGATGGGGTATTAGTTTTGTCCCCTCCATGTAAAAAAATTGGCATGGACGTTCATGCCATTATCATCTCCCTGTTCTATGAGGCGTTCTATGAGTAGAGGGTTCCGTGGTATGGTTTGGAGGTTCCGCGGTGTGATCAGGGGGTACCGTGGTAAGATGAGGGGGTTCCGTGGATCATGTTGGTCAAAAATGTTGCATTTTCTCAAAATTAAAAAAAAAAAACTCCGCAGCTATCGACGTAGCTCGACGAGGCGATCACGAATATCGATGTTTCACGTCCCAACTTTTTGTTTACGACAGTTATCGCACAAAACGTGAATGAATGGAAAAATTGTCCCGGACGGACCATAGGCGCCTTCCGGTATATGCCGGGGAGGGGTTGTAATTGATAATGTTGCCAAACCACCTAAGCTCTGAAAATTCAGTTGTGGGTTGTTGTCGGTGTGTAGATGCGATATTCGGTCTCAGATGTTAAATCCGGGGTCGGGAAGGTGGGTTTTCAGCGAAACTTGGTGATTTGTCTTACTCAATGTATAGGCAAACGCAAATCAGGGGAAACGAACTTTCTGTCCCCCCGCCGGGACAAAACGGGGATTTTCCCATATCTTGCCCATTTTAAGCGCTTTTTGGACCGCTGTTCCAGTAGAACAAACCCTATAATTTTTGCAAAATTAGCTGGCCACTTTCGACCAGGGGACACGAACTTTATGCTCCGCCCCCCCCCCCCCCCC